GAACAATTATCTAGGATGATGTAAATTAAACTTTGATCGCTCTCTAATAGAAAGAGTGGAGTTTCATCCCAAATAATTCTTTAGAGTTGAACCCGATACTTCTCTCTCCCTTGCACGGGATGTAGTTCATTAATGTTGGTTTATCATCATCTGTGTAGTTTATTATATGGAAAATTATGTATTACTTTCCATATAATGATAAGAATTACATAGTACGGAGTATATAATATTGTATTGTGTAAAAATACCAACCGTACATACATTTTAAAATATATTGATTTTGTTCTTCCAAATTCTTAAGAAAACAAAATGGAACTCATACTATGTTTCTCTATCGCATTACTGTACAAACATAGTTGACACACATTTGAGAAACAAAAAACTCCGTGTCTCTGTATTTGATAATAAGAGAATACAATTTTAATAAGATAATATATTATTCATTTTAAGACGATTCTCCCATTAAAAGAAAATTTGACTACACATTATCTAAAACAAATTAATGTTATAGATACAATGTAGTGTTGAGGAAATAAGAGTTACAAAACATATTTCACATAGCATGTGGAGATAAGCATTAAGAGTTCTAGCAAGACTAAGAGGTCCATTATTCAAAGTGGGAGGTCTGCAATCTCCCAATATTTCTTCAATCTTCTTCCAATATACATATCACATTAATTGATTAAAGATATCATTTTAAGGTTCTAAAATGTATAAGACTTTAAAAACCCTTTATGAATGCTTGCCCCCGAAGATTCCAACATATACAACTCCAACTTGCTAGCACTACCGGACATTTGACAAATAAATGCAGCGACACTCCTCTTCTCCTCTGCACACTTCACTGAGCAGTTCACCCTCCTCTGATTCAGCTCTTTAACAGGTGGCAAACAACTTGAACAAACCTGCTAAAAAAGGGTTTTCACCTTGGGAAGAAGACTAAAACCCCACCTCTTCGTCCAACCAGCCCACCCGGTAAAACTCTTGACCGAGCACTCCCTACGCTCCCCCATCTCCAAATGAGCGTAGATCTTTTTTTGATCGGGCGGCTGAAATGTATTTGGTTCTTGAGCGGGAAAATGACCTCCTAACAAAGTAGTGCAATTAAGGTAAACACACTAAATTTAAGTATCTCCAAAGATAGCATATGGGCTGGCTAAGTTTCTGTAATGAATTACGGATTTACTATTTATACTAATTCAAATGATATTAAACATAACTCATGAAAAATGCAAACCTCAATATTATAATCTCAAGCTAGGCAGCTAGGGTTGTGGTACTGATAAATTATACTCCATATGAGGAGAATTATCTCTTTGATGATCCATTATTTAAAAAGAGGATTAAAAATTTTGCCTGTTCCTAATTAGAAAGACTCTTTCTTTATTGATAATTGTTTTTAAATTGATACCTCTGTTCATTATAATTGAATGTGAGGCATATCAATTTCTTTCCGTACTCTGGACTCTTTCTTATTCCATCTTTTTTCCATCATTTGTAATGGAGCCAGAGATTCATTATTTTTTGGCTTGAGAATATGATGGAATAAAGCAAAATGGCTCACCAAACTGTCTGCGCTTCTTTATTATGAAGTAACAGTCAGTCCATGCAATTTTGGACGCGATTTTCATTATGGGTCATCCGGGAACAGTCTCTCTGTGCTTTAGTACAGGGGTAAGACTGCGTACATCCGACCCCCCCTTACCCCACCGTAGGTGGGAGCCTTTGCAGCACTGGGGTAAATGATGATTGATGATTGATTAACTCTGGACTCTTTCTTTCGTAGAATATAGGCGATATGTTTCAGCGATGGAGAGCTGAGAACCTGAAGAGAGAGCGATTTAGGTGATCGTACGGTTGAAATGGGGAGCGAGCGATTTAGGTGATCGTACGGTAGAAATGGCTAGATTGATTAAGCGGGAAAATGCTGCTAACCAAAAAGTAGTGCAATTATGTAGGATGATTGCAGGAGTAATGCTATCCTCATTTACAGGAGTAATGCTATCCTCATTTATAGATCCTTTCCGCTATAAAATGGATTATGTTTTAGCTTCAACTATTTTTGTGATGGTGGTCCTTCTGTTCATCATTTTGCTCAAGGGAAAAGCCTTGATGAATTGGAGTCATACTTTACAAATAATAGGCAAACTGGTAGAGTTCGTGGCATGGCAAATTTAATGTAACAAAGAGCTTTGTTGCTGAGATAGTCCTAAAAGAGAATTAAAATTCAAGCCAAGCATATCAAAGAAATGCAAAATGCACATCAGCAAAGAACCTGAACTATTCTTCTTGCAGAATAATCTTCCACTCCATCAAGATTTCATCCCAGACTTTCAATCGCCTGGCATCCACAAATGGGGAAAAGTATGATAATCTCATTCATTACTATTTGTCGGCATAACCACACAAATTTACAACTTTAATATGTTTTAACTTTAAAAAAAAAAACCTCACTTGGTGAATTGAGCATACAAAGAAGGCGTGAATTGGGATATATCTCAATATAATTCATGTAATTTATTAGCAAAGATCCAAAAGGTCTATCTTTGATATCTTACACAAACATCACTTGAGCTGTAATGATTTTGGATTTCACGACTCCAAGATCCACATCTCTTTTAGGTTTAGATAAAATGACATAGAAAAGACAAAGATATACAGTATTAATATGACATTGATCCTTTCTCAAACTGCCAGTCACTTTCCCGAATCTTACCTTTTGTTTCAAGTGCCCATTGAGCTTCCCAGGCTGCCCTTCACTGGCCCGGATTTGCTAGACTACTTTGAACGCAAATTTAACACTAATCCATAGTTTGGCTTAAAAAAAAATCTAAAGTAAAAAATGTTCCATTGTCATTTGTCAAACACAAAATGTAAGAACAAATGACTAAAAATAATCAGAATCTAATTAATAATATAATGAACAGTTTTGAGAAACATTTAGTGAACCAAAATAAAGTACACAGAAGCAAAACCAAAAGAACTCAAGTGAGTAATAGTGAAGCTAGAAGCTAATGTTAACTTGACTATTTCTTACTATATTAAAGTGAATAAGAAACTCATAAAAACTGATATAAAACACAAAAATGAATACACGCATACACCTTTTAAATGGAAATACCACTAAAGTTTCAAAATGGATAGAAAAGTGAATCCCAATGTGAAAACTGCATATTACGATAGCTATAAAAGGCTCAAAGCCTTTGATATAGTATAGTTTATTTAAGAAAAATGGTGAATCACCTGGAGGAACCTTACAAACAAAGAGAGTTGTCATTACATCCATTAAGTGTGACTCGAGCAATTATCACAAGTACAGGGCTTAGTGGTGTTCCCTTCACCATCTCAGGTGAGAGGCCACGACTAACAAAAAAATATAACTGCAAATACCTCAAACCTGATAGTTAATGAGTACAGTCTGCTATTCTGTAGCAGTTTAGAATAAGCGAGAAAAAAAACGCCTGGTCTCTCGGTGCCAAAAATCTAGTAATGTGTTATGTGTGCACTCATGTATCTTTCACATTTGTAATCAGTATAGTTAATGCGACTTAATTGGCAGTTTCTATAATGTTATTTAAAAAACAAAGAAAGATGACCTAAGCATTTTATCAAACATTACATATGCAGAATTAGAGAGTACATATACTATAGAATATTATCTCCATATAACAACATCAAATATAGCTTGTCAATTCATTAAAAATAAATACTAATCCATATTCTATTCTCAATTTACCACAATTTGTGGTATCAAACACAAATTAGAAAACAATTTCATAAAGTATAGTTAATGTGACTTAACTTTCAGATTTTTTCTATAATGTTATTAAAAAACAAAGAAATGTGACCTAAGCATTTTATCAAACACTACATATGCAAAATTAGAGAGTACGTATGCTATATAATATACATTTAGTTCCATATAACAGCATCAAATATAGCTTGTAAATTCATTCAAAATAAATATTAATCCATGTTCTATTCTTAATTTACCACAATTTGTGGTATTAACTATAACCAAATTAGAAAACAGTTTCATAATATGGCACAAAACAATCAACTTAAACATAATCACAAAACTCGAACAACCTAAAATGCGATAGATTGAAGTATGACGAAAAACGGAAACAATAAGTTCAATGGGAATCACAACCTGAAATTGGAATTTGGAAATAGGAGGGAATGAAAATACCTGCGATATAAAAGTGTCTAAATTCTGATTGTTTCTAGAGCGAGAGGAGGTATTTCTGAACGGAGATATTAGGCTGAAGGCGTTTGAACTCCCATGCTTTCTGAGAGGAGAATATCCAGTGAAAGAGATCCAAACTGAGATATCTCCGATGAAGGAGATTGAAGTCTGATTCTCGAAGAAGGAGATAGATTAGATGTAGATATGTGTGAAATGGTGTAGGGAAATGACGGTAGATGTGTTGAACAAACGTGAGGCGTGGATATGGGTGAATAGATCGTGCGGGTGGAACGTAAGTGGCTATGAGCGGGAAAATGCCTCCCAAAAAAGTAATGCAATTATGTAGAATGATTCTCATTTAATTTAGTAATATTAGTAAAATAAGGTCTTTTTGAAGTTTTTTACCCCTCTGAATTGAAATCCTATATGACTATATCCGCCCCGATTCCGGCGTGTCCAAACTTTTTCATAAAGAGGTGACACAATTTTCTTCAAAGCATAGCGCTTTCGATTACTTCAAATTTCATCTTTACCATCTTCACTCTTCCTCATTTCATCTTCCAATTTCTAAAATTTGTTGGAAATGGAGGATTACGGGAGTAAATCAAATACGTGTAAGAAGGAATCCGTCCCACGTGAAAATGGCTAACGAAAGCGTGTCCAGCTGTAACTCAATCACGCCATCCAGTTGTGACTCAATCACCGATTCCTTATCGCTGTCAAACTCTGTTCACAACCGACTCCAGATTGGAATTGCGAATTTTCCTCACTCGCCGCATCTATATATATTCAATCCTCCTGTTTTCCGATCATTCAATATCTATTTCTCGAATCATAACTTCTCTCTTATAATTTTCAATCAAAACTTCAATTCGATTTATTTCTATATAAGATAAGATGGCTCGATTCAGAGTGTTTTTGGTGATGGTTTTGGCCTTGTTTTTGGTTGGATCCGGTACAGCTCAATCTCCTTTAGCCGCCCCAGCTCAATCTCCGGGAAGATCTGTATTCCCCCGAGCATCGCCACCACAGGCGACAGTTTCCGCACCGGTACCGGCACCGGCGAGATCTGCAGTTCCGACCGTCGCACCATCTCTGGCTCCAGCTCTCGCTCCTTCTGCGGTTTCACCAGTCGCTTCTCCCCTGGCTTCCCCGCCCGCGCCTCCCGCCAGTTCTCCGGCTGCGTCTCCCTCTGTTTCCGGCGCTAATCCGCCATTCAACGCGCAGTCTCCTGCTGGTGCTGCTGCTAACTCTGTTGCCAGAGCTTCCGGCTTGAACAAAGTCGCCCTCGCTGGATCTGCGGGATTAGCTTTGTTTGCTGCTTCTTTGCTGTTTTAAGTTCTGTATAACTTCTATTCCGATTCTCACGCTTTGATTATTTTGCAGTATCTGTACTTATTTTCGTTTTGTTTGGAAATTATTCTTCATAGTTTCTGATGATCAGAGTTAGGATGGACAGAATAGGTAGGATATAAGCATAAAATCGTCGTTTCAGATGTGATTATACCTATATCTCACAGTGTTCATTATTGTTCTCATTGTCGGTTGTGATTCTTTTATTGATATACGGAGTACAATAATTCTTATTATGTGGTCGAACTCTTTGTTCCTATTTCATGTATACTCTGTTAATTTTCCTGGTTGATGCCGTTGTGTGATTTTTTTCAAAATAGGAGTAATTAGTTTAATCACATGTAAATACTATCCTCCTTATCGCAGCAGTCTCCTTATCACATTAGTTTTAACATGCCAAATTACACACTATTCATGTATTCTATTCTACTTTCACTATATTTTATTTAGAATTATATTTTTTGAAAGATACTGTTGCTAAACATGAAACTAAAAAAGAATGAACGAAAAAATAACGAGAAAGTAAGACTTTATATTTGTGAATTGTGATGGGATCAAAATGCTCTCACAACTGATCCTCCCGCCGACCACCTACTGCTGTCTCCCGCCTGAAAACTTTCCAGATTTTGGCGGACCTCTCAACGACTCTCTTGGTCGATCGTGAAAAAGAGCATGAGACAATTGAGAGACTTAATTAATTAATTAATTCAATTTGGGATAAAAATGAACATACAATTTTCTCTTGTTCTGTCTAAAAAGCTTTCAAAAATGTATGCCTATCCTTGGGTCTTGGCTATCCTAATTCGCTACCCCTTTAGGTGTGTTTGGGAATCCCGAGGGAAGTTCTTCTAGTGTGAGAGTTTTGAGTTCGAAGTTCTAAAAATAACTGGGATGTTGTTTTTAGATGGACTGTAATTTGTCCCAGATCATTCCAAACCAGTTCAGACCAGATTTGGATAGTTATACTCTGTATTTAAAATTTAAGTTAAAAACTCCGTATTTAAAATTAAAGTTCACTTTTAATCAAGTTAAAGTTAGCATTTTATTATTTACTAGCTTTCAAGCCCGTGCATCGCACGGGCAGTATATATAATTTAGGGAAAACTGTCAAATAGGTCCTCGAACTTTCATAAAAAGGTCAATTAAGTCCTTCTATACGAGACTCTGTCCGGTCGTCGCGATTTGGGGCTGTTCTCGGTGGAATTTTTTTTTTTGAGCACCTTATTCATCAAGTCTAGTTTACTCATACCAAATTTCAGCTAAAAATTCAATCGGGAACACATTCAAATTAATTCTTGAAGATAACTGCGCATTTTTGTGTTCTCGAATTAATTTGAATGCGCTCTCGATTAAATTATTAGCTGAAATTTGGTATGAGTAAACTAGACTTGATGAATAAGGTGCTCAAAAAAATTCATAAAAAAATTCCACCGAGAACCGCCCCAAATCGCGACGACCGGACAGAGTCTCCTATAGAAGGACTTAATTGACCTTTTTATGAAAGTTCGAGGACCTATTTGACAGTTTCCCCTATAATTTAGCTAATTTGAAATTTGATTTCTTTCGGATCATATGTAATGTGATTTAAAAGAAAAATAAACTTAGTCTAATATAGAGGTTGTTTGATAACTGAAGTAAATCGAATTAACTAATTTTACTGAAATTGATTAAATTCTAGCTGAATGGGTGGAATCTTCTAAATCATAAAAAAAAAAATTGTAAATATATTCCATTTGTGAAGCCAAGAAAAGATTATATGAAAAATAGTTAAATCGACCTTCTACATAAGCATCTCAAGTAAATATAATTGCTATGAACGTGATTTTAAAGAATTCATAATCTCACGTCCTCTAAATTACTTTATTATGCACCACAAGTTTTTTTCTTCTACTATTCCTCGTTCAACTTGATGTGAAATACTGAGTACATACCCTTAACTTTTATAATAAGATGTTACATTTTACTCATTATTTCGTCACACCATAAGTCCGTAAATGTAAAACAATGGAGTTTTTTCAAGAGAGAATTCCCTAAACAGGAGTAAAAATGTTTTGAAATTCCAAAATAGGAGTATCATCTTTTTTATTCTCTGAATAGGAGTAATCTGCCAAGTTTGAAAAAAATGTCATGTTTAAAAGTCTAGTTATTCCAAATATGGCAAAAATTTACTCCTATTGAGGGAATAAAAAACATGATACTCCTATTTTGATATTTCAAAACGTTTTTACTCCTATTTAGGGCAATTTATGTTTTTAACATTTTACTCATTATTTCGTTACATTGAAAACAACTTTTAATTGTTATGAACATCTAAATTACTTTATTGAGCATTTCAAAATAATATTTTTCTAGTATTTCTCATTCAACTTGGTATGAAATACACATTTAAAACTTTTAATGGTGAGATCTTACATTTTACTCATTAATAAGGACGTTTTTAAATGAATTAAAATTTTGGGTTTGATTTGGTATGAATTAATATGGTCTGGTATATGTTTGTTTTACATTTTATGTGAATTATTATTATTATTATTATTATTAAAGTTTAATCTGATCTGATTTGATTTGGAACTGAAATCAATCCAATTAAAAAAATCTATTAAAATAAAAGTAGGAATTTGTAAACATATAAAGATTTTCTAATTTGGATTAGGAATCTATTTCAAAAGTGAATGCACATTTAAATTGTAGTTGTAAAATAAAGAAATAACCAAACATATTTACTTCTTTGGCTAGGCCTAAATGTATTTACTTGTGAAAATATACATACATGTATGTATTTATGTTTGATATCAATTTTAATCCTTATTAAGTAAACTACTTGATCAGAAGTATTATTTTAAGATTCTATATTAGAATATCTAATAGATTTAATTTCGTTTTTTAATTTCAATTATCTGGTGGTTATAATTTTTATCATTATGTTAATAATTAAGAAAGAAGTGTATGAAGATGAAGCAAAATGCGAAGTATTAACACAATTACAAATCCGGGGCTTAGAATTTTAATCATTATCTCTGTTGAACAAAATTTCTAATCATTATCTCAACATTTAGTTTAGAAAAAAAAAATATTACTCCGTACATTTTAGGAAGAGGGACACTATTATTACATTTTTATTTTTATCAAATTACTTTGAAGACAAAATTAATAGCAATTTGGCTGATTTATCTGTTAAGTGGGCAAAAAATGAATAATTCATCTCTTTAATATGGTATGTACTTTGTTATTGACTTTTACTTATTTATCATGTTTTAAGATATCACTATCATTATTCTTATAAATGTTAAATGTTATGCAATTCACGTTTTTGTACACCAAAATAAGTTTTCGTAATTTATGCACATATATGTAAAATCCTTAGATTGTTGTACCATTTTTTATTAAGTAGGGATCAAGAGTCTCGTAATATTTGTTAGTATTATATTTGGTAATTTTTGAAAAAGTTACCAAATAGATTAAGGTGGATTTGTACGGATTTTTGTTTCCATATCAATATGCAATCAAAAACAGAATCTAGCTAATAAAATAGAAGGTATAAAAATAACTAAATATTAATATATATAATGACATGGCAGTATTATGTGGCGCTTTGTATGCTTTTAAAAAGTTTCTCTTTTATATATATATATTGATTTTTCAAAATCATCCAATTTGACGGAACTCGATCAAAAAAGGAATTGAGATTTCATAATACCAAAATATGTGCTACTCCGTAAAAAAAAACGAATTCAGATTTCATAATACCAAAATGAGATCTTACTTGAAATAGGACTAAACAAAATTCCAAAATAAGACTGCCATGTTTTTATTCCGAAAATAGGAATAATTACTGTCATGTTGTTGCAGTACCAGACTTCAAACATGACAGTATTTTCCAAACTTGGCAGTAATTACTCCTATTTTGGGAATAAAAAATCCTATTTTAGAATTTTCAAACTGTTTTAGTCCTATTTTGGGAACTTTCCCTACCAAAATATGTACTACTCCGTAGTTGAAGTAAAATACTCCATAATAAAGATAAATGATGCGTAACAAGTGGTTATTAATTAAGAGACAAGAACTAAGTCGTTCAATAAGATGAAAGATGGATTATAGTAGAATTAATTTTGGAATAAGAGGAAAGATGGATTATAGTAGAATTAGTCGCTCATTCAATATGCATAATAAATGAATACGAACGATCGTTTTTTTCAAAAAAAAAAGAGGTATTTACCTAAATAGGAGTAAATCCATCTTTAATTGCTAAACTAGGAGTAAAGATTAAAATTTCCCCTAATAGGACTTATTATCTGTAGTTGGACAAATAACTCCTTAAACTTGCCAAAACTAACTGCCGCCAATCCCCAGGCCGCCTCTGATCGCTGGTCACCGCCGGCCGCCAGCCGCCGGCCGTCGGCCGCCACAACCACTGCAGAATTGGTCGCCGCTAAAGATATGGCCGCTATTACTACAGATCTGAGTGTTTTATTTGCAAATCTGACTGCCTCCTACGAAGATCTGGCCGGATCTGACCGCCCGATCCGCCGTCCACCGCCTCTGAAGATTTGGTCGCCGCCGGTTAGATCCGACCTCCGCCGTGGCAGATTCGGACCTTACTGTTGCAGATCTGGCTGATCCCGTTGTTAATGCCAATATTTTCATTAGAATGCAAACGTGAAACGAGAATGCCATATAAATGACATTTTCAAAGTGTAATATAAAATTTGTGAAGTGTAAGAATGCCAATTTTATGGCATTTTCAGATTAAATTTGGAATTTTAATCGTCCAAATAAGAAAAGAGCTTGAAAAGATGAAACAGAAGAGAAGTGCTTAGAAGATGAAACAGGAAGAGTTCCCCACCAAACATTTAGTCATCTCACCATCTCATCGTCATTAAAGGAGTTCTCAGTTTGCTGCGTTTGTAAACTGCACTTGTCGTCCATGAGATAGCTGCAGCTGCCCAAGAAGAGTTGGAGATAATTCATCGGTCTAATTAAAATGAGAGTCCACTGCAGCAAGTATAGGGCTTTGAGGATTTGAGTGGTGCTAATATTTCATTAAGGGTAGAATAGGAATAACACTAAAATTTAGTCCTATTTGAGCTTAAAAGTAATTGGAGTCCTACGGATGCATTTCCCCTATTTTTTACTCCCATTTACAACCAATTCCCCAAAAAAAAAACTTGATTATTATTAAAAATCAATGCGTTTTTCCTCGGAATAATACTAATTAAATAAATAACACTCAAAATAATGCAGTGTTAAAAATAATTTCGGGAAAAAATTCAAAATCAGAAGTAGATACAAAGTCGTCATATCAAAGATTACACTGGAATGAGCTTCAGAGCAAGAATCATGTCTAACAACAGTCCAATTCATTAACCCGCAATATGATAGATTCCATTAACACCAATGTTGCATCTGCTACTAAAAGGGGAAAACATAAAAGATAAC